CCTAAGATCCCCATCAAAAACACCAAAATCGGAAGCTGGAGCCGGAGGTGGAACTGGAATATCAGTTGGAGGGACCGTTGCACCCTCAGTAGGTGTAGGGATAGGTGCAGTCTGATCAGTTGTAGTAGAATCAGACAGTGTAGTAATTGGGGGAATATACTCACCCCTTGGGTGCTCACCCGCATCATCAAATATAGGATCAACTGCCACTCCTAGGGTGACATTGGCTCTCTGGCCAGTTCTTGCATTCTTCTTAGGTGCAATGTGCTGAAAATTAGAGCAACGCACGAGTTAAAGGAGGAACAATCTTACAATCAGCTCTATTGCACGATCAAGAACATGAAAGAAGGGTATCATTCCTAAATGCCCACGTAGCCTCCTAATTATAGATGTGGTCGACAATATACCGATAAGAAGGACTCTACTAGATACGGATCTGAGACATCCTAGGACACTTTAAAACCTTAGGCTCTGATACCAAGTTTGTCATGCCCCAACCTCGGGGAGCGCGGCTGACGCTCAACCGAGATAACCCGGCCGAGCAAGCCTGCTAGATTTCCTTCTACCCAACTCACCCACGAATAAAGAGATTATAACTTCATTTTAAAAGTCTCAAAATACACACTTTCATAGTTTGAATTGGAAGATGTAACCCGCATACAACATTTCTATCTTGACTTTCCCAATACCAATACATAACCCACACCATGTCTACGGAGCCTCTAATAGATACAAACGAGTATAATGATAGTGCCGACAACAAGGCTCCGGCTATACCTCCAAATATAGTACATATGGAATAAAAGATGCACAACTCCGGAATGAAGTGGGGCTCACCAAGTCAGCTGGAAAAAGTGTGTATTGCGATCACTGGTCAATGCTTCCTGCTGTGGAATCACCTGCATCCATTAAAGATGCAGCGCCCCCGGCAAAAGGGACGTCAGTACATGTCGAATAGTACTAATATGAAAACCAAAACATCTATTCAAGAACTTGGAAATGCAACATGAATGTGATGAATGAGGGTGACAATAGACTAGCATAGATAGCCTTTAAAGCCAACGCAAATTTATCAAGAGCTTTCAATAACAGTTATAAATTTTAAGTCGGGGATCCTCTATAACTACCTTTACACAGAGCGGCTTTGCCGCCTCACCCCAATATATGCGGGTAGAGATGCAATCACAATACCAGTAACTCTACACAAGCGGCCCCGCTGCCTCACCCCAAGGTACACGGGTGGACGTGTATTCCACAATACCAAGACTCTACACAAAGCGGCATTACCGCCTCACCCCAAGGTACGTGGGTGGAGGTGTATTCCATAATATCAAGAATCTACACAAAGCGGCCTTGCCGCCTCACCCCAATATATACGGGTGGAGGTGTAATCCCAATCACAATCTCTACACAATTTAGCATCATTGTTTCATTTGAAACACGTCTTGAAGTTATACATTTAGATATGCAATCCATACTTTGAACACGTTCTCACAATGGTAACACAACATAACAATAACATTTGGAACACGTACAGAACATATATTTCTTGTCACAAAGCTTATTCGGAATAGTCGATTTATGGTGAGCAACTTGAAACTTACAAGAATAATGTGGGGTTCAATTCTAAGAGAAGAGTTTAGCCAACATACCTTGCTTTGAGCTTCCTTAAATTGCTACAATGTTCCGAAAACTCTAGCAACCTCAATCTATTTAGAAACATAACAAAATTGAACCATAATTAGAAAGATATTAATGGTCTCAGCTCATTTGAGCATTTTATCAAACACTAGGTGTGCAAATTTGGCTACAAGGTTCTACAAGATTTTCTTCATTTCACAACCCAATCTTTACTTATTTGAGCTCAACAATTTTTTCACAAAACTTATTGGTACATGCATATAAAAATAATACTCTTACACTCAAGAATCATACTCCCAATCAACCATCTTCTACCCAAATTCGAAATTGAAAACTAGGGTTTGGAACCTTACCTTTTAGATGAAGAACTTGTGAGGTTTCTTGTTGAATTTCAAGGCTTGAGGAAGATTTGATGAACAAGGGCTTGGGAATTCCTCCTCTCACTCTAGGGCACTTTCCCCTATCTAAAAATATCATATTAACCATCCAATATGACCCTAAGATCGTTTTATAGGAACTAGGGTCGGGTTATGAAATTAGAAAAATTGACCCTCCAAAATTCGGACTGGGCTACAGACCAGGCTAGGCACGCTCTGTAGCGAGCTACAGACCAGGCTTCGCGAGCTCTGTAGCGTGCTACAGACCAGGCTTCGCGAGGGATATAGCACGGTATAGCGCGCTACAGACCTGGCTTCGCGAGGGTTATAGCACGGTCTAGTGCGCTATAGACCTGGCTTCGCAAAGGTTATAGCACGGTCTAGCGCGCTATAGACCTGGCTTCGCGATGGTTATAGCACGGTCTGGCGCATTAGGAGCTGGTGACGCGAGGTCGAAATGATTCAACTCCCCAACACATTGTTCAACCCAAAAGTTCGAGAATACAATAATTTAGCCTACCTTGGCACCACAGAACCTTAAATTCCTTAGCGAAATTTTTCGGGGCCTTACAAAATTTATGGGCTATAAAATTTATTTACCATTCAAGAATGTTAAGTCTAAACTTGAAATAATACGTTAAAAGATAAAACTGTGAAAAAGTTTATAAGAAATATTTATAAATTACATTACAATAAATATTTATATGTATAAAATATTTTTAAAAATTATATAAATGTACTATCGGGTTGGTTTGGTTTGGTTTGAATTTGACTTTTTTTAGTTAAAACCAAACCAAACCAATTATGGTAGGATTATTTTTTCCAATACCAAATCACAGTCGGATTTTTTCGGTTTAACTTATATTACCGATTTGGTGCGGTTTATTGGTTTTCTTTGTACACCCCTAGTTCTCATATTAGTTTATCACTTGATTATGAGTAATTATAAAAAATTAATCACTATACATTCTCGACGTACAATGCATGAGAGTGCTCGCTTTGAGTATCCATCACTTGCCTCATCACCTAAACATGTGCTTTCTCTATTATGCTGTCTTTTCGGAGGATGAATAGATTTTTTTAAATAGACTTGTGAAATTATAGGCTGCTGAAGGATTTCTATAGGTGAAGGTGAAGGAAATGAAAGAAGAGGTGGCAAGAAAATGTTTTAAAGATCTTGTTATAGAAGTTTAATTTTCTTTTTACTATTTGAGTTTGGAAAAATCGCAGAATGCATGGTATGACTCGTGAATTTTGTTCGATAGAAGCTCGAAACATGCACTTAGTGAATATCACTAACGTAAAGAATGTATCCGTGTGCACAATTTATGCTTTTTTTTTTCCTCATAGGCTTGATATCGGATTAGTATCCAATATCTAGCCACGACTGTTTCTAGTGAAGTGGATTCAGAATTTTAAGTTCGTCATATGAAGTATATCATACTTGCTTAGGAGGTCTTTCCACCTTGTTACAAAAGTGCATCTACACATGAACAGAGGCGGAGCCAGAATTTGAAGTTACTGGATTCGAAACTCTAGTTCTTTTAAGTTACTGGGTGCTAAATTAAGAATTTGTACATATTCAATAGATTTCTTATGGCAAATATAGGGTTTGAACCAAAGTTACTGGGTTCGGCCGAACCCGTAACACGTATTGTGGCTCCGCCCCTGCACATGAAGCGGCTATGATAATTTGCATCATTCATTTAACAGCAATATTTTGTCGAACATAATTAAACAAGGAATTAGTAGTTCTCTTATGTAACACTTTAATCTCATGTGTGCAAATCTTTTCCATCTGTCCAAGCTCAAGTTGACAGAGTTATCCGATATCTATGTTGGTGGAAGATAGCAGACACAAGTTGACCGAACACTAAGTTATAAAAAGAAAAGAAAATCTAATATGTACGTGCAGTATGCAATACCTTGGGTATGAACTAATTTTATTAGGTGCTACTGTGCTAGGAACGGATCTTGAATTCTTAGATCAATATTTTGATTTAGGTTGATGTTGGCAAGCTAAAAGTAGTGATGGCAATTGGCAAATTGAACTCATAATTATTTGACTCGTCCAACTCGCCAGTGAGGGATGATCGACAGGAATGGCCCTATAAAAGCTGGTCTTTAAATATTATCCCTGTTTTTGAATAAATGACCTCCAGACCCATGCAATTTTTCAGGGATTTATCTATCGAATCAGTAGAATTTATGCTATATTTACTCGACCTATTATTAATTATTCACAAACTCTATTCGGCTAGCATGATTTTGTGCTTTTTAAAATTGTTCATCAAACTACCATATTAGTGTAACTTTGTATTATCTGCAATCAACTTATCTATTAAATTATTCATCAAAGTCTACCAGTTAGGCATAATTTTCATGTGTTGTTAAACAAAATATTCTTCGAATTTTTGTAATTCCAATTTCGATCGAACCACCTCGAATCTGCTCAAAATGATCTCAAATTTGAAATAAAACCTCTAAATACCTGCACAAACGATCCCCGGTCACCAATTTAGTCAAATAACACCAAATCAAGAGACGCATTGTCTTTTTGAACACCTTCTAAAGACCAACAATGGAGTTTTCAGATTTTAAACAAATAACTAAATCAGTGTTTAAACTAAAAGTATAAGCATAAATAATCAACACTTTATAAAAGTTAAACCATTAACTTCGAATTACTTATCCCTAACAAGAATTTTAAGCTTCTAAAATTGAAAAATTATGTATGATGTTCCTGGTAAAGAAGAGATAGAGCAGAAACAGAAGGGGCAAAGAGGCAGAGTTTATAACCACCAATTATTGGGATATTAAGCTAAGACCAATCTTGTTGGGACTCTCACAATTTTATGAAGAATTAACCCAAACGCCATCCACCCAACCGCTTAAACTAAAACTAATTGTATATATAATCAATACACTTTATGAATACCAACAAGAAAAAAGTAAAGAATAAAATCCAACCAGCCATATGTGTAAATATCCAAAAGACTAAATGACTGCTTCCAGTCTAATATCCAACCATCTATTTGTGTAAATATCCTTCCAGTCTAATATTTTTCAAGATAAATGACCGCTTATACTATGAGCAACTACTGAATAATCGTAACTTGCTAAGTTCCTACTCCTAAATCTAGAGTGCAGAGAAAAATCTATACATCAACAAAAGCACAACGTTAATGTGGTTGGTGAAGTTAAATAAGAAGCAATTGAAATTAACCTTCTACAGCTAGACGGCAAGGGACAGCACAAGAATAGCAAAAATTAATCAAGAGCAGTCAATCCTTCTCGATGCGCTCAAATTTTCAACTTGATAAAAACTCCAATAATAGTTCACAAGTAGAGAGAAGGTCAAGCCACAAAATTTCATTCAGTCGGATATTATGGCGCTCCAATTCCTAAACTGCTTCAAGAAAGGCCCTTCCAGGTTGCCGTGCAGCAAGTCGACCATGGCACCCAAGAAGCTGCAAAAGCAACCAAAAAAAAAACGAATTGTAAGTTCTCATCTGCAAACCAGTGCAAATTATCACTGGAAACAAGCCATGATTTGTATGTTTTATTAGATTCAGGCTTTGAGATGTGAATATTATACTATAAGGAAACAAACCTTAGCATTCACACCATCTGGGACGATACGGTTTTCTGACTTGTATTTCAGATAATCAGTACGGCTGAACTTGGTGAACCCCCTGAAACGAAAAAGACAGCACAGATGAAATACAAACATGTTTGATCAACCAACTTCTGAAACAAATGACTTTCTCCAATTGTCTACCTAAAATCACACAATGTTTAATCCTCCACCTTTAGAAACTAAGAAAAAGTAGACATGCCAACACTCAAATTCATGTTGAGTGCCTTTCTGTATGAAGAATGGGTGAATTCAGCTCAAAGAAACAACCAGGATTTTTGGTATTTCATAAATAGCGGATGGAACACACACTCCGAGAATTGGTTTGGATAAAGTTATCATCAACACAGAAATTCATATCTGCTTTAAAATGTACCTTCCTAAAGTTAACCAAGCTAATGAAATAATGCAGCACCCTATACACCAATGTACAAATTGATGAATAATAAACAAAATGGAAATGTACAAAGTGCTCAAAGCAAGAAAATTAAAAAGTTAGGGCATACCACTTCCTGCTGACAATGATCTTTTGTCGACCAGGGAACTTGAACTTAGCACGGCGCAGAGCCTCTTGGGCGTGGTTGCTGTTGCCATCTTTGCAGCGAACTGAGAGAAGAACCTGACCAATAGCAACACGAGCACAAACACCCTGGGGCTTACCAAAAGCTCCCCTCATTCCAGTTTGGAGCCTATCAGCTCCAGCACACGACAGCATCTTATTAATACGCAAAACATGGAAGGGATGAACTCTGACCCTCAAGTGGAAAGCATCTTTCCCAGCAGACTTGGTCATGTACTTGTTGCAAGCAATACGGGCAGCTTCAAGCGCCTCACTGGAGACATTCTCCTTCTCCCAACTGACCAAGTGAACACAGAATGGAAACTCATCAACTCCCTTTTTCTTCATACCTACATCATAGATCCTGATTTTTGGATCTGGGACACCACGGCAAAACCGTGACTTTGGGTATGGCTTGTTCTTAATCTGACGGTAACATCTTGCAGGTCCTGTGCAAGATTATTGAAAACATTATACAAATCACTGATGATGTAAAGAAAGAATGCAAATGCAAGTACTCTCTGGCAAAGGTCAGTGTTGATATAAAATGAGCTGATACTAGCAATGCCGAGGTCAATGGTGATATATAATGAGCCAATACTAGCTACCATCCAGACTGCATTTTGGATAGACGTGCAAACACCACACCCGGAAAAATCTCGAAAATACTGCAAAAAACGTACTAGTATATAACAAGACCCTAAAAAAAGCCTCAATTTTGTTTGACGACCGCTTACAATCTTGTCCCTCAGATGAGTATCAACTTAGATTAAGTGTATTAGAGATTGAAACTAAAAGTTCTTTTAATTCCTATCAGACACAAGAACAAAAAAAGGTAAAAAGAAAACTAAATCAAATGAACCCCACATTTGATTACTATAGAATGACGACTACACACAAAAGATTTAAACAAATACTTTACTTAAGTCAACACCGAAAAGCTCAACAACAACAACAACCCAATAGAATACCACTAGTGGAGTATGGGAAAGGTAGAGTGTACGCAGACCTTAGCCCGAAGAGACAGAGAAGTTGTTTGCAGGACACTCTCGGCTCAGGGATAATAGATCCGTAACAACAATAGAAACCAGAATCCGAAAAGCTCAAGGAAAACAAAAAATAGAGAAATTGTATAAAACAGAGAAATAAATTTATCCAAACACTGGAGATTGTATAAAGAACATCAGATACACATGCGACAATACAAGGGGCATAAATCAGCACCATTTTTATCAGATTAGAATACTTGTACGGAAAAAAATTGTGCGGAAAGATGAGAATTAATGTAATAAAATAGTGTTCTGGGAGAGGAAGCTTACTTCTCCCCATGGCTTCGTCCTCGTTTAAGACCTGCGGCTTAGAGGAATGCTACTGCAATAATGCCCTAGTTGACGCTCTCTATATACGAACTGCAAATTGTTTGGGCTTGCGTCAGGTAAAGCTAGCTGGGCCGAAATGGGCAAAAGTTTTAAGAAAAAATGACATTATATAACGGCTCTCAAAATAATAATCGAAAAATATATATTTTTTGTATATATATATATATATATTATGTATATTATATACAAAAATTATATAAATTTTATATACTTTTTCGGCTATCGAATATAAATAGTTTCTTGTACGGGCTAAAAGTGATAATACCCCAAGTTTTAAAACGGGAAAATTGACACTGCGTAACAACATACAAGAGGAATTGGCAAATTATTGGACTTAAATTATGCTGGCAAAGGCAGCCCCAAAAAATTTACGTTGGATAACCAAATCTCTAAAAAAAACTACTTCTTATTTATGTTCTCTCTCTATAACCACTTATTTACATATCTTTTTCATTTCTCTTTCCCTTTCTCTCCTTATATTTATTCTTCTATTTCTTCCCTTTCTCTCCCACGATTTAACAAAAATTATTGCAAATTATATACAAAAATCAGTGGGATGACAAGGTAAGTTGATCTCACATAAGAGAGAATCAAAAGCAAAAACTAAGAGAGAAAATAGGAAAATATAGAGTTCAACTTTGTTTTTCTTCTCTCACATTTTTTTGTTAAATTGAATGAGTGGGTGTGATTGAAAACACCTAGACGAGGCTATATATAAAATTTGATCAAGATTAGAAGTGATTTAGACTTGTTTCAGGTGAAAAATCAGACCTAAAAATTCAACTGCGAACTGTGTATATAACATTGTATATCGTGTATATCACACACGATTTTGATGGACATCTTTGTATATCGTGTATATAACAGAAGGTCATTTACGAACGTCTGTGTATATCACATTGTATATCATGTATAACACAGATTTTCATGGATATATACAGATATACATGAGATACCACCGATATACATGGAGATATACACGAGATACAATGGGGGATACATAGGTGGAGTCGTCTTGAAACTTGAGTTTTCAATCTGAAATGTATTAATACAAAGAAGAAAAATAAAATTTTGATATAAATATTATTATTATGTTATACACTTTGATGTACAAATATTATAATCATTATTGTGTTATATATATTTGGATATACATATAAAAGAAAACTAGAAAAATAATTTTAAAAAATTTGGGAGATTTCTTGGATACTATTGAAAGAAATGGAACCTAATTTCTAGGATGATGGTTGCTATGAGATATGAGAGAGAGAGAGAGAGAGAGAGAGAGAGAGAGAGAGAGAGGGGGGGGGGGGGGGGGGGGGTTAAATATTTTTGCTATTTTTAAGGAAAATAAGCATTTAACCATTTTGGCCACCAAAACATTATCAATAATTTACAACGTTAAAAACTTAGGAAAAATGAATTTTCAATGGATATGGCTGAAATTCGTTAAAATGCATAAACAATGCAATATATAAATTATGAGAAAGATTGGAGGTGATTTGGACTGGTTTGGAGTTAAAATTCGTAGTTAAAACCGAGTTCAAATTTTTCTGCAACACATGTGTCACGCCCCAAAATCCCAACCAACGGGGCCGTGATGGAGCCCGACACCGCTTACTAGGCAAGCCAACACATAGCGATAAATAAGGAGACTAACGGTTAACATCATAATGATAATATAGAATAAAAGCAGCTCAGAAACGTACATAATAAGTCTAAAAACTAACATTGACGATCAACCATCCCGTGATTTGTTGTCTAAAAATTTTAGTACATGAGCTACTAAAATTTGCTAAATACGATGTCTGAAAGAAATTACAATATTGTATGGTAAAATAAACAGTAAAGAAGAGATGGAAAGATGACTCTAAGACTTGCGAAATGTATGCAATCTAGTATCCGCTAAGCACCTCTCGGGACTCTGCTAGTACCAATATCTGAATCTGCACAAAAAGTGCAAAAGTGTAGTATAAGTACAACTGTTCCCCTTTACTCAATAAGTATCGAGCCTAATCTCGACGAGGTAGTGACGAGGCTATGACAAGACCCTTATCGTAAAGACTTGTACAGATAATATGCAACAGAATTTGAAATATAGATAATAGTCATAATAGCAAAAATAAGGGCAAGAATAGCAAAAGAACCCAATATCGCAAGTAATGATCAAATCTCTTGAAATACTTAACCAAACTCTTTTACAACAGCTCAATAACGGGGAAGAACAATATCTGAGAACCACATAACTACAACTCACATAGAGGACAAAATCACAACAACACCAGAATATATCATGTATGTTGTGGCGCACAATCCGATCCGATTCACAAAATATATTGTTGCATCGGCAACCCGATCTCGTGGCCATACTATTGTTGCGACGAGAAACCCGATTCTTATCATAATATTGATGTAGCGGTAACCCAATCTAACATATCAATTCACACGGAATTATCCAACAACACATCCAAATATAGAAAAATCCATATTAACTATCGAGGAGAATGAAATAGCATAAATCACTAAGGAAAAGATGGTCACGAACAAGAAAAAATGGAAAATTCCAAGTTTTAGAATTAATCTTACTCATGTAACGCAATAAGGATCCAAACAAAGTTATTAACATGCAACTATCAACTAGCCATACAATCCAATACCGCATAGAAGAACAAAGTATAAAACGAATGAAGGAATGCGACAAGTAAGGCAAGTAACAAATAAAGTCATGTAACATATAAATGCATATATCAAGTAAAAGCATAAAGCAAGTAAGAGCATGTAGCAGGTAAATGTATAAATCAAGTAAAACGTTTAACGAGTAAAAGCATGAAATAAGCAAAGGCAGTTAACAAATAATAACATGAAATATGTAAAGCCATGATTAAGTTAGTCCCACCCTCATGCACTCGTCACCTTGCATATACGCGGTCCCCAACATATAGAACATATAGCAATTAGACCAATCATACCTAATTCTCTTAAATCAAGGTTAACCACGATATTTACCTCTTTTCGTAACCAAATCAACAATCCAATACCGCTTTTCCTTTAGCACAAGCCTCCAAACAACTCGAATCTTGTCAAATAGTGTTCAAATAAGTCAAAACAAGCTTTAGAAACTATCCTAATATCAGAAAGATTCGATCTTTATCACATTTAGAAAAGTCAATAAAATGTTAACGCGAACCCACATAGTTGAAATCCAAAATTAAGACCAAATTTCGATTACTTATTCATCCCCATTCCAAATATGTGATTTCATCCGACTTAATTCGAGGTCTAAATCTCAAAAATAAAAATCTTAAGTTCTAACCAAACCCCCCNATTTAATGATAAAAATCAAGAAAAAGTTATGAAAATTAATCAAAAATAAGTTAAAGTTACTAACATATGAAGTTGGGATGAAAATCTCTTCAAACGTTGCCTCTAGACGAAGTCTAACTCTAAAAAATGGGAGAAAATGAGTTAAGACTCGAACCCACCCTTTTTCCCGTTGCAAATGTCGCAGGTGTGGTAGAAGTACCGCATAAGCGACACCACTGAAGTGACCAAATAGTTTGCAGAAGAAGACATGCGTTGGTGCAAATGTCATAGAAGAGATAAGCTTTCGGAGAAGCGGACTTCGCATCTGCGGCCAAATCATCATAGATGCGACCTCCCCCCTTAGTCAAGATCTTCGCAAATGCGAGCAAACATCCGCAAATGCGATGCCGCACCTGCACTCGGCTCTCCGCAAAAGCAAAAATGCCTGAGCTCCCCAAGTCTCACAGATGCAAGCCAAAACTCCGCAGAAGCGAGCTCCACACTGTAGCACCAACAATGCCAAATCTAAAAAAATCAATCTGAAACTCACCCGAGCCCTTCGGGTCCCAATCCAAATATATACATGAGTATAATAACATCATACGAACTCGCTCTCAAGATCAAAACATCAAAATAACATCTAAAATTCAAGCATCAAACTCAAAGATTTCAAAGTTCATAACTTCAAATTTTCAACTTTCCATAACAAGTGCTGAAATGACCTCGGGTCACCCGGGACCCCAACCAAACTATTACACCATGTACTTATGTGATGTTGTATATTGTGTAAATAACTTTTTAAGAATGATTTAAATAAGTTTAAAGTCATAATATGACTATATATGATGTTTGGATATATAATATAATGTTTGGGGAAAATCGGATTTAAGTTGCGGAAAAACTGACTAAGGATTTGCCTTGTAACGAAACTTTTTGAGCAATTAATTTTGTGTGTTATATGAGGTATTTTAGGGATATATTATATATCAAATTGAAGTTCATAGAATTTAGTTTTCAACTCTCTTGACTGTTTATTCATACAATATCCGGATAAAGAGATATGAGTGTCGGAAGAAGGGCTGGTGAAGCACACATGTGGTTGACTTTTCAACCTTACTATAAATAGAAGACTTAATCTTATTTTTCCTTATTTTCCTGAACATTCAGGCACATGCAGAGCTTCCATAACTCTCCAAGAAGTTCATCATCCACAACTCAAAATCAAGAAATGAACATCAATGCGATCCTTACGACATAAGTAAGTCTTTGCCATCCTTCTTTCTCCTTATAACTCATGTTTTGGAAAAATATTAATGGCTAAGAAAGCTTGTCACCTCTGTATTTTAGCTATACAATAATAAGGAAGGGTGTGGATCAAAGGGTGTTAGGTTTGGAAGCAAGAAGACAAAAGGTATGTAGGGTTTTTGTTTCGTTTTCAGCATGGTTTGGTTTAGCTATATTCTAGCCTTTCTTCTTGATCTTTTGAGAGATGTTTAAGAGAAATTTCAGCATGTATTGTATTGTATTCTTGTATAGTATTCAATTACATATGTTAAGTATGGATGAAACTAATTTAGTTTGAAACTTCAAAACACAACAAAAACAAAAAGGGCGAATCGCCCATTTGGCCTATGCCATCCGGACTTCCATTTATTTCGTTCCTTTGATGTTTTTATGTATACCTAACATCCATATGATCCTAATATCTTCATTTAAGATTATATG